TTTGGCAAATAACAACACAGTGCCGCCCCAATCACTTCCAGAAGAAGTTGTTGAAATGAGTCAAATACTAACACCATCAGATCTTCATGAACAGCCGGGCAGCACATCCACGTCAACTGCGACTGCCTTGGATTTGGCAAATAAAAACACAGTGCCGCCCCAATCAATTCCAGAAAAAATTGTTGAAGAGATCCAAAAAATAACATCATCAGAAGTTCATCAAGAACCAGGCCGCATTAGCAGTGGCAATCAGCAGGTATTAAAAGAAATTTCTTCAGATCCTGCATTATAGCTTACTTTCTGCATGTCATCTCAAACTCGTCAACTACTGGTTGAGAGGGGTCCCCATCAAATTAAAGAATTCGAGTTTCCTATTAATAAAGGAAAGCGTAGATTTTTGCCCTCGTATTATTCGAAAGTGTTGAGCAATGGTGAAGTCGTTGAGAGAAGTTGGCTTATTTACTCTATTGCAAGTGATGCCGTTTTTTGCTTTTGTTGTATATTATTTGATAATTCGTCTGATATTAGTGACTGGCCCAAAAAAGGCTATTCTGACTGGAAAAATCTTATAAGAGCCCTCACAATGCACGAAAAGTCTGTAAATCACAGAAATGCTTTTAGAGCATGGAAAGAATTGGACATTCGATTGAAGCAGAAAAAAACTATTGACGCTGAATATCAACGAATTATGGATATGGAACTTCAGCATTGGAGAGGAGTTATAAAAAGAATTATGTCAATAATTAAACTATTGGCCTCACAATGTTTAGCTTTTCGTGGATCAACTGAACATTTGTTTCAACCTAATAACGGGAACTTCCTAAAGTTGGTAGAATTACTTTCTGAGTTTGATCCAGTTATGGAAGAACATATCAGGAGAGTTCAACGAGTGTCTGATAAATGGTCAGTGACTTATCTAAGCAATAATATACAAGATGAATTGATAAATTTAATGGGAAATTCAATTTTAAGAAAAATTGTCGAAATAACAAAAATCGCTAAATATTTTTCTATAATTGCTGATTGTACCCCCGACGTCATTCATTATGAACAGCTCTCCTTAACAATAAGAGTTGCTACTTTTAACTCCATTCAAAATAAATATGAAATTGCAGAATTCTTTATTGGTTTTTTTGAAGCTAGTGATTCAACCGGAGAAGGTTTGGCAAAACTTATTCTGACACATTTGGAAAAATTAGGTTTTGAGTTAAAGTGGCTTAGGGGACAAGGCTATGACAACGGAGCCAATATGAAAGGAGTAAGAAAGGGTGTTCAAAATAGAATACTTGAAAAATATCCAAGGGCTTTTTATGTGCCCTGCTCATGCTATTCTTTAAACCTTGTTGTGAATGATGCAGCGTTTTCTACTACAGAAACAACATTTTTTTTTTCTATTGTACAAGAACTTTACACTTTTTTTTCTGGTTCTACAAAGCGTTGGGAAGTGCTAAAAAAATATGTTTCTCAATTAACTCTGAAACCATTAAGTGCTACTAGGTGGGCAAGCAGAATAGATGCTTTAAAACCTTTACGATTTCAACTTTGCGAAATCTATGATGCATTGATTCTGGTAATAGAAGACGTCAATAGAGATGCAGAAACTAAAGTTAAAGCGAGAGGGTTAGCAAAAAATATTAAAAATTACAAGTTTATATGTGGAGTAATTCTTTGGCATGATATTTTGTTTGAAATTAATTCAGTTTCGAAGCTTTTGCAATCTGTTACTATAAATATATCAGATTGTGTAAGGATGCTATCAGAAACCATAAAAAAAGTGAAAAGTTATAGACAATCTGGATATATTCAGATGAAAATTGCTGCAAAGGAGATAGCAGAGAATCTCGAATGCAGTACAGAATTTCCTGATAACACTGAAATTAGACCCAGAAGGAAAAAACGTCAATTTGACTATGAAAAAGCTGTCGATGAACCCTTAACAGAGGAGAAAAAATTTAAAATAAACTTTTTCAACTATATTCTGGACATTACCCTTAATTCTCTGAATGAACGATTCACGCTTCTGGAAACCCATAGCAAAAAATTTCAGTTCTTATATGACATTTTAAAACTCAAGGATATAGATGACAAAACGCTAGAAAATTATTGTTCCAGTCTTGAGTTTATACTTTCGGTTGAAAATGAAACAGATATAAATGCAAATGACCTTAAAGAAGAATTGCGTGATGTATCCAGAATGCTACCATATTCTACGAAACCTTTGGATGTTTTAAATTATTTATGCCAAAATAGCTTAATTAGTTTGTATCCAAATACTGTTGTAGCTCTGAGAATTTTATTAACTCTCCCTGTATCTGTAGCTAGTGGGGAAAGAAGTTTCTCCAAATTAAAATTAATAAAAAACTACTTAAGAAGTTCAATAGGACAAACAAAACTTAAAAATCTGGCATTAATTTCTATTGAATCTGCAATGGCTAGCACTCTAGACTACACATCAGTAATTAACGAATTTGCTAAAGTTAAAGTTAGAAGAGTAAAGCTGTAATACTGTACATTGTTGTAGTTTATAGTTGAAATCATTATTTTAAAATTTCAAAATAAAAAGTAGAATTCGTACATTTTGTGCAGTTTTTTTTAAAATCACAATCGAAGGTTATTTTAAAGAAAAACATTTAATGGGCGGCATTTCGAAGATTTGCCTCATAATGAGAAAATCTACCGCACGGGCCTGTGGAAATATATTCTTAATGAAGAATTTTTGTATACGTTTTTTCCTTAACATAAACATTTACAAATAATAAAACATGAAATTACAATTGAAAAATATAGCGACAAGACATAACAATCAAAACTAACAATCTGGTATAATCTGCGTTTCCTAATATAAAAGTATCACAGAGTATAAAAGTATAATCTAGTATATAGAAGGAGATAAAACTTGACATAAAGGAGATAAAACTTGAAATTTTTGAGATAAAACTTGACATTTATTGGCATTTGTTTTTATTGTTTAGCTCCGTTAATAGACATTATTTGTTTTAAGGACATTTACACTATTCTGTTGTAGTTCCCACATCTTTCTATTGTAATACCCACATCTTATGTATTGCATATTTTTTAAAAGGTTCAGAAATTTACCATTGAGTGTCAAATATCCTGTGTTCTTAGTCTTTTCAAACAAAAAGTAAAAAGCATTAAACATACGGAGGTTCAAACGTTTATATGGAAGATCAAGTTATCTTACATGAGGTGTTATCGTACATGAGATGCATATCGCTTAAATATTATAAAAATAATATGATATGAAGTAAAATATGGCCTTCAAATAATATATTTTTAGTATAATATTTTCAAATGCCTAAATGGTACTGAAAGTTAAAGAACCTAAGGAACGGAAAACAAGGTTTAATTTTGAAAAACAAGTTTTATATAGTATGAGACCTTTTTAAGACATTTTAGCAAACTCAAAATTTCCGAAATAATAGTAAATGCAGAGCCAACAGAAGAAGAAGTATTAGCAATAGTGACAAGAGATGCGCAAGTAAAAGTACAGTCAAAACTACTTGCAGTTGAAGTAGTATCTAATAAATGCAGTAGTAACGGTAATTGCATGGCTAGCAAAAGATGTATTCTTAACAGTAGAAACTGTGCTATGAGAAGTTGATAAGACTTGCAGTTCTTGCATAGAAAGAAGTGCAATTTTTATCTTCTCAGTCCAATTTTTCCTTTAGCCGTTTAAGGCGTTTCCGCACTAGACAATTTCCATTTTTAAAACATATTATTAACGAACACACTTATTTGTAAAGTTACTAAAATTATAACAAACTTCTTTTTAATCTACTTTGAAACGTTAAGTTTTTTCAAATTGTTTATAAATATATTCAATAAGAGGCGCAACCAAAGCTAAAAGTGAGGCCCCACAAAGGTCTCCACTTGTCTACAGGCATGCAGTTATAATAGAGAAACCTCGAAACATTTGACAACTCGAATAAATGAGCACCTTAAAACTTATTTTAAAAAATTCCATCCATATATTTGTATACAATTAATAGAAAAAACTCTCCATTTGTAATTTTTTTTGAAATTTTGAATACTGCAACCAAAAGATAAAAGAAGCTCTCCACATTGAATGGGAAAATCCCTTATTTGGTAATGTATGTATGTATGTAAGTATGTATGTATGTATGTATGTATGTATGTATGTATGTATGTATGTATGTATGTATGTATGTATGTATGTATGTATGTATGTTACGGTCTTATCACAGAGCACCGTGGAAGAGCATTTGAAAGGAAGTTCACGCCTCCTTCTCACCGATATTATAAAACTTGCGCAGAGGTGGCATTTAACCACGGATCTCTGCTTCTGAGGTAAACGCGCTAGCCACTGTCCTACGGCTGCTAAATGTATGTATGTACAGGGTTGTGGAGTCGGAGTCGGAGTCGTGGAATCGCGATGTTTTTTAGCGGAGCTGGAGTTGGAGTAGCTAAGCAAAATCGCGACTCCGTCTCCAGTAGTAAAACTTCTCGGTATTGCACGTGCATGTACACGTCCACATCCCTGTGTATGTATGTATGAATATTATACATTTATACATATACAGGGGTGCGGAGTCTTAAACAAAAAATACCGACTCCGACTCCGATTCCAATCGTTGAAATTTTTTGAATACGACTCCGACTTTGACTCGAATTCCGACTCCGACTCCAAAGCAAAATTTTTGAAAAATTCTTTGAATTTTTTTAAAAAAATATTACGTAATAATTAAAAAAATTTTTTTTGCGAAATATATAAAAAGTTCTTTTAAGGTTAAATATTTTGTTAAAAAAGTTAAAATCCAACATATATACATTGTATATACGTTGAATTTTAACTTTTTTAATTACAAGTAGTAAGAGAGATAAAAAAAATCATAAGTGATAAAAGAGGGATGGGAACCACAAATGGTAAGAGATTTAAAAAACTAAAATGTCGAAGAAAGAGAGAGTAGTTGCTTAATATAAATAATTATACAGTTAAAATTTAAAAAAACATATCTTACTGGCACCATTTTCAACAAGAATTTTGACAATTGGAAAATGACCATAACGCACTGCATAATGAAGAGCAGTCGTATTTTCTTCATCTTTCTTATTTAATTTTTTTTTATCTTTGCCATATAGTTTCAAATACTTCTCAACAATGTCTAACTTTCCATCACGTGCTGCCTGTGAAAATAAAGTACGTGTAAATTATTTTTTCAAAGCATTTTTCTGTAAGATCATAGAAGTTAATATTGGTAACAACAATTTTACAACGATTAAAGTTTGATGTATCACATTTAGCATTTAGTATTAGATAACTATAATTTATTTCTGTTATAATTAAAAAAGGGTTTGAATTCAGGTCTGTTTTGAAGAAAAAGATTCCACCGCTATAACGGTCGAAATATTGAAAGGTCGAAATATATTATTCTTATTTTGGTAAAAATTCTTCTTATATTCTTTTATAAACTTAAATACTGCAATATAAATATTTAACACAAAAATTATAGAGAAAAAAAATGCTTTTATTAATAATGGTCGTTACTCAAACGAAATGCAAACAACGCCTGAAGCTTTAAATTGTTATTAATTTTTAAACAACAGTTGTTTAAATTCATCAGTTACTGATTAGATCATAAGTTACTGATGACCTGATGACATAATTTTTCAAAAATGATGTTAAAAACATTTAACGAAATATTAATACTAAAATAGCTGTTACATAAACACTAATTAGAAAGTAGCCAAGTTGCCACCTCTCTCTATATTATCTTTTCAAGTTATCACCTCTGTATAATCTCTTCAAGTTATCACCTCTCTCTGTATTATTTTATCATGTTATTACTTCTCTCTTTATTATCTCCTTCAGTTATCAGCTCTTTCTGTTGGGGAGAGTGGGGTAATGGCGAACGCGGGGTAACTCCAAACCTGGTCAAAACAGCATTATAGAAAAATAAACTTGAAAACTTCTTTTTACCTGCTGAGAGGGGATCCCATGCTCAACCCATGCTCAGTTACAGACGTGCAGTACCCATGCTCAGTTACAGACGTGCAGTAGTGTAATGAAGCTGCGGATGTTTTTCACTATAATTTGATTTTAAATTTTTCTGATAATTCTATGCAACTTTTTTCTTGAGTAACATATTGTTGTAACTTCTATGGATATAAAACCACACCTTTTTTGTTGTTGTTTCATAGTATAATTTTTGCACTTATTTATTACAATTAGCATTTTATTCGTTATTATACAATAGTGTTTGTGATTGCCCCCCAATGTGTTCGGAATTACCTCACGTACGAAAGGTGATTACGAACACTAATCGTTTTATTTTTGCAATAAATATGATCTATATTGTATAACTGATGTCTTTAATTCGCATTTCCGCTTAGGTGTTTGCCAATACCCACCTCTTTACCCTATTATCTCTTCAAGTTATTACCTCTCTCTTTATTATCTGTTATTTTAATAACTATTTTATATATGTAAATTTCTTGTTTATGAAAATGTAATATAATTTGTAACAAAGAATAATTTTTAAGTAAATTATTTTATTAACACATCAAAAAGTTAGTAATTGTTAAGCGTACCCAATTAAAAGTCAAACCTAAAAATTGCTTATTGATGCTTACAATAATTATCCACCAATAAAATACTTAAAGTATATTGATTTATTCTTAATATCATAAAATCGTAATTTCTGATCTTAACATCAAAGTATTTCTTGGTCTAATGGTATTAAGGTTTACGTTTCTGATTCAGATATACAAAGAAATACTATTATCAAAACAAAAATTTGTTGTCATCAGTTTACAAATATCATAAATATTCATGTCATTGGCAGAGCTGGGTTAAGGCATAATAGGGCTCTAAGCCATCCGCAGATGTGTGGACAAACAAATAGCACAATTAATCATTTGTAGTTCTCTGTTCGTTTTTTTATTATTTTTTAGTAAGAAAATGAACACTCTCGAGAATAATAAATTATTGTTAAAAAAAAGAAAGAAAAAACGAGCACAGTTGAAACATTAAAAAAAAGAATTTCAATATCATCTTGAAAAATGGTATTGTCTTAATGGACCAGTTGTTGCTGTACGTTGTCAATTTAAGTTGAAATTGGTTGATAAAGATCAGTGCATGTGTTTCAAGCAATCTGCTTGGCGTGCGACGATTTAATTTTCGTGTGTTTTATTTTTGCTACTGTTTTGAAATAAACTTGTTATGTTATGTAGCAGTATAATTCACTAATTATAGGTTTTGTGTATTAGTTTGAAAATGACCTAAAAGAAAGAAACTAGTGGAATGCACGGTTACAAAATTTATTTAGGGACAAAAAAAAATAGCATTTCAATAAAATGCTACTAACTTCCTTTAATAAGCTTCACAACATAATAATTTTTAAGCATAATACTTGTTAAACCATAGTCATAAGATATAGATCTATTTCTTATGACAATGGGTTTTAGCGAGTAAAAATCACTATATTACGCCCCGAGTGATGTTTATTTGATGAAAGTTATAGAAGATAAAATCTTTATTTTGACTATTATCATGACTATTTGACCTACCGATTTATCAATATTTACTCGCTTACCGATTTATAGATATTTATTTAACCCGCCTATTCATCGATATTTATTTGATCTACCAATTCATCAATACTAGTCATTGATCACAATCAAAGAGCGATGATAAAATTTCTTCACAACTTATTTGAGTAAACGATTAATTTTGATTTTAATTTTTGTACAACTATTTTATAAATTGTTTAAAATGGTGACTTTTTGCCCCCAAAAAAAACGTTTCCAAAACGAAGAAAATACATTTCAGACTTTAACTGTGCAACTCATAAAACTTTAATTTTTAACTAATAACTTGTTTTAAAATACTGACACTTAACTTTACAAAAACGAACTTTATGATTTAATCTACTAATTTGTCTACTAATTTTTTATTTTTTTTGTAAAAAATTTGCTATTAACTTCCGTTGTTAACTACGATAATATGATAACTTACAAAATGGCACTCAACCTAATTGCCATTTGACAAAATTATAAATTTCTTCTTTATTCTTACAAAAAACTGATTTTCCTCACCTGATGAAATGTTAATAAAGATGTTTTATTGAATACTTCTCCTTTTTTCGGTTTTGAGGTTTGATCAGACGGAAGCAGTATATTAAGAAACTGGTGCTGAGGAAAACTCGATAAGATGTGATTTGTGTTTTGTTGTTTTTCTTTTTCAACCATTCCTGGTTAAAAAAAAAAAAAAAAAAAAAACATTAGATCAATTAAAATATTTTACAAGTTAAAGAGTTGCCTAAAATACTTGTTCTTAAAGAATTCAATCAAAACACACTTTAATGTTTTCGTAACTGACGGTTGATTCAATGATATCCAAATTTTATAAAGTAGTATACTATTGAATATGGAAATTGAAAACTTGAAAAAAAATTGGATTTACATGATATTTTAAAAATTAGCATGATTAGCAACAATTATTATTGATATATATTACATGATATCTTAAAGATTAACAGTAAATAAAATTTAATAAATAAAAGATTAAAACAACAGTTTAAACATTAAATATGTTTTTTTAAAATTTCAAAAACTTGGAACTTTGACAAAACATCAAAATGTTGGATATATATATATATATATATATATATATATATATATATATATATATATATATATATATATATATATATATATATATATATATATATATATATATATATATATATATATATATATATACATATATATATATATATATATATATATATATATATATATATATATATATATATATATATATATATATATATATATATATATATATATATATGTATATAATATACAAGGCCGGCGCGATTGGGGTGCGGGGGGGGGGGGTGACACCCCTATCAATTTTTTTTTTAGTCGGCAAAAGTTGTAATGGCACCCTCCCCCCCACGTGACACCTACTCGCGCCGGCCCTATATATATATATATATATATATATATATATATATATATATATATATATATATATATATATATATATATATATATATATATATATATATATATATATATATATATATATATACATATATATATATACATATATATATATATATTATATATATATATATATATATATGCATATATATATATATATATATATATATATATATATATATATATATATATATATATATATATATATATATATATATATATATATATATATATATATATATATATATATATATATAAAGTCTATGCAGTCTTTGCCACACGCACAAAAACACAACAAATACACGCATATGTGCGTTTTTGCTGATATATATTATATTTACCTTATATATATCATAAATAATTTGTTTTCAATCAGTTAAATTTAAGTAAATAATTATCATAAATTTACCCATTTTTATCTATTTTAAATCGAACAATATACCAAAAACTTTTTGTTACAAAAAGTCACCATTTTTTATTAATATTTTGAACTTTAGCAAACTTATTATTAACCGTTTTGCGCTTAAAAAAAATCTTATTAAATTCACATAAAAAAGTCATTTAAAGGGAAATAAACATAAATTACCATAAATTCCTTATTCCAATTATTTTTTGTTCAACTTAAAAAATCTGCGTTGGTTTACAAACAAATTTCTAAGCATTGTCTCAATTGAATACACAACTCTATTTCAATAAGATAAAGATTAGAGTAATTAAGAGATATATATTGTTTACATGATTGGATTAAATTTCGTTAAACGGCATTTTTTATCTTTGGAAACGTATTTTTTGCAATTGAAATAAAGTCGTAACTGATGCATTTCTAGTATGGGGTATTTACTAGTTTCATATTGTTGCGTTTTAAGTAAAGCACGTATTGAAAACATTCTACTCGAAATAATATAAAATATAATAAGTTATAAACATGCTATCAAAATATTTGTTTTAATAAGTGTGTAATTATTTCCTAACTTTAAATTAAATGGAACTTAATAATTGTTTGTGTTGTCCCGGTTTTTAAATAGGAGAACGCAATGCAAAGTGTTTAACAAATTAGGATTATCGCTGTCCTTTTAACTTAAAACCAAAACGATGGTCTTCCTAATAATAATTTAGCAGCTATATAATACTGAATAATACTGCAGCCATTAATACTGCAGTTAAACTATATAATACTGCAACTATACTTAAGGCTGACGCAAAAAAGGAGAGGTGTGGGAGGTTCAATGAATTTTTTGTGCATTTAGGCAAATTTGACCCTTTTAGACAAGGTAATCGGCAAATTTACACAGACAGTCGGCAAATTTCAAAAAACAAGGACCTTTTTTTTTCCGGCAAAAATTGTAATGGCTATCTCCCCCTCCCCCCCTCTCCCCACATGATACCTACTCGCGCCGGCCCTGGCCATACTACTGTATAATTCTGCAACCATAATACTGCAGCCAAACTGTGTAAAACCACTGATATCATAGAGCCGAAACGGTCCGGAAAGCTGTTGCGGTACTTTATATATACTAACTAACTCTGTAAAATAACTCTTTGCAAAAGTGTAAGTGTAACCTGTAACCAGTATTTTGAATCACCATCTCGTGAATAAACTAAACTTTTCTTTTAGAATGCTTTTCATTTTATTTAAAATTATGTTCACTAATAAGATATAAGATATTTAATGTTCACCAATAAGCTTAATAAGATATTTAATGATTAATATCATCAATTTAATTAAATTTAAAAAAAGAAACAAATTTTTTTTTATTTTCAAAAATTTAATGCGTTTTAATTTGTACGTAACTTGAACATCCTCATAAGATTTTAATACGTTTCCGTTCAGAATTGTTTTGTGATTACAATAGTTTTCAATCCTTAACTTAATTTATTAACAAGTTTTTTTTTGTTTTTTTTAATGTTAAATCTATCTTTATTGTTAATTGCTCCGCCTCCCTTCAAAAGACACGTAAATCGGGAATATTGTTTTTAATAATACTTACTAATTTCACATGTCATTTAAAAAATTACACAAAGTCAAAAAAAAGTTTTTTTTTTTAGTCAAAAAAAGTTTTTTTTTTTTTTTCGAGCAAGCAATTTTTTGTAAAGCATTTTGATTTCAAATATGCAATTCATTTTTCACCATCACGTCAAGTTGTAAAGATATTTGGATTCAAATCTTTAGTATTTGGGGTAAAATATTTAATAAAAAAAAGTTTATTCAAAAGTATGTCAACCTGTTTATTAAAAAGTTTATTCAAAAGTATGTCAACCTTTTTATTAAAAAGTTTATTCAAAAGTATGTCAACCTGTTTATTAATCTCTAAGAAAATACGCTTCTTTTGAGATCCAGGTTAACATACTTTTAAATAATTTTTTATTTCTGACATAGTAAGGGAAATACTAAAGATTGAACCCAAATATCTTTACAACTTGACATGATGGTGAAAAATGAATTGCATATTTGAAACCAAAATGAGAAATGCTTTACAAAAAATGTACTGCTTGCTCGACAAAAAAAACTTTTTGTTGACCTGTGTTTCTCAATTTAAAGTTTATCAATTGGCAATAATTATTATTAAGACAGTTAATAATAATAATCACCATCACAAAATCTGCGTATTGGTGTTATCTGTCCCAGGCAACTTCCAAGCAATTTAATAACATTGATGAAGTTTTGCCGGTAACCACCGATTATCAACAGCACGGATTGTCAACTCTACACGCCTGGATTCGATGTTTTGAATTCTGTATTCATTTGGGATACAAAAAAATACAAAAAAATTAAAAGCGCGCAAAGAGAAAGATAAACAGGAAAAGCAACAATTAAAGCTAGGATCCAAAAAGCTTTCAAATAGCAACTTGGAATTTCAGTCGACATGCTAAAGCAAGGGTTGGGCAGCACGAACAACGGAAATACCGCTCAACGTTTCTTTTAAAACACTCAAACGTCATCCTTGATAATTGGTGTTTCCGAAGAACTAATCCACCGTTTTGATATATAATAGCAAACAATTTTGAGTGGACATGTATAGACGTTGCCGTTTTCGTTTTCGACGTTTTCGAGTAGACATGAAATTGACGTTAAAAAGTTTTGAGGTTACACCTTAGCAAGTGCAAGACATTATATCAAAGAATATCCCTGGTATAACATGCCAACATCATTACATAAATGGCTGATCCACGGACCAGACATTATTTCTTTGGCCATTTTACCCATTGATCAACTGTCCGAAGATGCTCAACAATCAACCAATTAATAAAGCGGTATTTTAGGTTAATAAAGCGATATCGTTTGGGTTTTTCCCGAAAGTTTTCAAGAGTTAAGACATGGCGTGTTCAGGAGATTGTTGGCCACAGACCCCTACATTTAATCTCTACGAAAATCAAAACCAAAAAAATTGAATACTTTGTTACCAGAAACTGTTGCCCATCTTGGTTCTTAGACAGATGATGATAAAAAAAACAACAGAATGATTATTTGAAATAAAATATTTTTCGTATATTTAACACATCTTCCATTATTTGATCCATTTTTTAGCATTTATGCACACATTGGATCCTATATATTGTTTTTTAAAACTTTTTTGTGTCAAATTCGTAATTTGTGGTCTGAAAGAACCCTTAAAACTTATACATGAACAATTTAAACAATTTTTTAACATACAGTAGTTGCAAAAGTTTAGAAACACCAACTTTTTTTTTAGCAATTTTTACAGCATAACTTTTTGCAAACTTTCAAAGATAAGCTGAAGTTTTAACTAAATGTGCTCTATATTATTTCAATTTAAAATACAAACCACAAAAGTTGTAAAATTGAAGGTTTAATTAACATTTAATTGTTTTTTTTGCTTCCGTGCAAAAGTTTAGAAATAACTGAGTTTGATTAATATTTATTTCAAAAAAGCTAAAACCTTTACTAAAATTCACAAAATAACAATTTTTTAAAAATAAAATAGTTTTAATAAAACACTTAGTATTTGGTGGCATATCCATTTGCCTTTAAAACAGCATCACAGCGACGAAGCATTTAATCTACTAATTTAATAAGAACATCCTGAGGAATATTATACCAACATTCTTTAATCAATGCAAATAAATGGTCTTTGTTAGTTGTATTTCTACCAACTAATTGTAGGTCGATGTACTTCCAAAGATGCTCAATAAGATTGAGATCTGGAATCTGTGAAGGCCATTCAAGAACTTTGATTTTTGCGATTTAAAATATTCCTTAACAGATCTGGCACAATGCTCTAGATCATTATCTTGTTGTAAGATTCATTTGCGAGTCATTTTATGCTTTGCATGTGGCAGCATAACATTCTTTATAATGTCTAAATAAACTCTCTGATCCATAATACCTTCTATGCGATGAATGCAACCCACATTGTCATGACTAAAACATACCCTAACCATAACATATCTTCCTCCATGATGAATAGTGGGTAACTGATATTTTGGATTAAATCTGTCTTCTACTGGGCTCCTAAAATACCTAATTCCGTCACTACTGAATAGTATAAATTTTGATTCATCAAAAAAAAAAGACTTTTGACCAGTCATTAACTGACCAACTCATATGATCTTTTGCAAATTTTATTCTGGTTTTGAAATTCCTTGCAGATATTAGCGGTTTCTTAACTGGACGACGGCCATACAGATTATTTTGTCGTAGTCGACAAAATAATTAAACTTTGTTTTTGTTTACAAAAACATGATTTAGTGACGGAATAAGGTACTGTTTCTAATCTTTTGCACCAAAGCTTTTTCAAAAAAATACCTTTCAATTTTACAATTTTTGTGGTTTGTATTTTAAATCGAAATAATATAGAGCACATTTGGTAAAAATTCCAGCTTATTTAACAAAGTTTGTCGAAAGTTATTCAGTAAAAACCAAAAAAGAGTTTTTTTTATTTTTTTTTAAGTTGATTAAGGTGCTCCAATAAGTCCTTACGGTCTTATCACAGAGCACCGCCAAAGAGCATTTACGCCTCCTTCCCAACCGATGTCGCAAAACTTGCCCAGAGGTGGGGTTTGAACCACGGATCTTACGTTTCTGAGGCAAGTGCGCTACCACTGCGCCACGGCTACTTTATGTTGTTTCTAAACTTTTGCACGCTACTGTATATGTCCATCATATTAGATCCGCCATTTTGTTTTTCTTATTTTTTCAGCGAATTCTTAATCAGTAACCTTAAAACATATTTTCCATGAAAATTTAAGCAAATCAAACAACGTTTTCATATTTTGACAAGCTTTTTCGATATCTGACCTACTATGCGAAATTTGAAAACTATTTCTGTTTTTTTATTAAGTAGTTCTTTGGCATTTTTATAAAGTATAATTATCAGATTTTTATATAAACAAAGTAAACTTTTTTGTGCGTGTTGTTGTAAGTAGGGTTTTTTTTTAAAGATAGATCAAGTTAATTCCGTTTATTATTTCTTTGAGTTTTTCCCTAGTTTCCCTTTTTTTTTTTGAGAGAGTGGTTGCATTTAAACGTTTTTTGTTGGTAAATGATTGCTTGTGGTTCGCATATCACATTTTCAACACGCTTTCTGATAAACCAATGTATGTTTTGTGTGAACTACTGAAATATTTTTTCAGCAGGAAGATTTCTTTTTGTTTGCAATTACAAGGGAAGTTTTTAGTCGTAATTTATTTTTTTGTTGAGGTTTTTTATGATTTTTGAAATGTTGTTTCAGCAGCTGTAGCTAACTTTTGTGGTGTTTCGGTTGAATAGTTTATACAATGGGTTTAAAGGTCGGAAATGCTTATCTATTAATTGCAAAATGATTTGGCCAACATTGGTAGAGACGCTTATATTGTAGGGTGGGTTTAATCAAACTACATTTCTTTATTGCTTAAGGGGGTGTCGTGTCTTTTAGGTTGTAATTTAAGTTAATGTTTTGTGTATGATGTTAATATATATATATATATATATATATATATATATATATATATATATATATATATATATATATATATATATATAAATGGAAGTTTCGAATCAGAGTTTTTTCTATACAAAAAAAAAAAAATGAGTAAGAGTTAAAATATAATAACTTCAGCCATAAATCTTTTTACACAGGAAAGCTATCGCATTTCCTGTGTAAAAAGATATAATCTTCCGTATAACAATTTGAAAACAAATATGAGAATTTTAAAACATTTATTATTACAAAAAAGATTATATGAATGTTAAAACATATAAAAGTATTCAAATAAATTCATGTGCAAAATGTCGCAAAGCAAAATCTTCCTAAATTCAGAAATAATTTTGATTTGATTTTCATCTGCGCCCACACCATTTAACTGTATGGCTGAACTATGCAACTTGAACTTTGGCATGAAACCAATTAAAGCATAGTTTTCACCTTCCAAACACTTAATTAAAGCCTTTTGCTCTTCTTAAAAATGTTACTATACCAATGCTAAAAAGCAGGAATTACATTTGTTGTGAGCAACCAACCAAAACACGGATAGCCTGAATCACCGAGTAGTAACTTTCGTAAAAATATTTCACGAATTATTATATTCGACTCTCTTAAAATCCTGGCATTGTGTGCTTTAGGCTTTTTTTCAACATCAAAGAGCTTTTTGATGTTATTACACACCGCTTGGATATTGGTTGAATGATTCTAAACTTTAGAACGTTTAGAAGACGTTTAAAAGAGGTTCATAACGTAATTTTTAAAAACAAACACCCGTTGGGATCAATCTAATAAATATTGTTATAAAACTCACATACCATCAAAAGAAATTTAAGTGTTCTACAAGTATCATAATTTATTTAAATGGAGAGCTAAAAAATGTTTAGTATCAAAAATTCTATATATATATATATATATATATATATATATATATATATATATATATATATATATATATATATATATATATATATATATATATATATATATATATATATATATATATATATATATATATATATATATATATATATATATTAAAATCTATTAAACTGTTTATAAATGTTGCTTTTTTAACATTAAACAAATTGATTTGAGATTATTTAGAAGATCTTTATTGTTCTTAAGCTTTTGTGAATCAAGTTAAATAAATAATATTTTGTATTAAATTTATAAAAATATAACATATTTCAAATTTTGCCTAGAACTAGACAAAAATTTAATAAATCTATAAACGCACATACTTTTAAATAGTGAAATAATTTCTTTTTTATATATTTACCCCTTTGTTGTTATATATATATATTGAATAATTATAAAAATATTACACATCATAAATAAATAAAAGTACAAATAAAATAAGTTAGTCCGAGATGTAGTTTTACAGTTACAAAAATTCGGAAGCTATAGAAATGTTTATTCATTGATGTTAATATGATTAATAATACCATTCAACAGTTCTTCTATTCGATTGTTTTGCGCCTCGATAGCTATTATCCTTCTACTTAACTTGTGTATATTTTCTTCAAGTTCGATCTGTTCTTTTTTAATATTTTTAATATTTTTCTAAAAGTTAAAATTCAAGATTTTAAAATGTAACATTTTTTAAAATATCATCTAATATATAAGACTATTCGCACGCATGCGCGAATAGACTATCTTTCTATTTGTACATTAAAAAAACAACTTAAACTTTAGATTTTTTTTTTTTTTTTTTTAATGAAAACTAAAAAAAAAGAATAATTTGAAGCAGAGTTGTTAGTCCTTAGCCTAGGTCTCGGCCTTGCCTTAAGACCAAAATTTAAGTCCTTGGTCTTGGAATTGGTCTTAGCCTTGAAAATATTAGCCTTTGCCTTTAAAATAAAAATACATAAAACTAAAGAATTAAAAGTTTTCATTCTTTATTTTTATGTATTTTTGTTTTCGGCTTTCATATATATCTACAAGTATATTTTCTTATTGACTTCGTTGAATTCTTCGCATAACCTTGGTTTATTTTTACAACATATGGTTTTATTATCAAAGCAATTGTTACCTACAGATTTGTTAATAAATGTTCTTAACGTAAGTGAAAAAATCTTTGGTTTTATAAATGTTTGCGTAGACCTTATCCTTTAAACTCTTATTCTTGTCCTTGACCTTGTCCTTGTAACTTTTGGTCTTGATCTTGGCCTTGTAACTTTTGGCCTTGTTAACAAATCTGATTTTTAGTTAAAGTTAATTTATGTATTTTACAAGCAATTTAATATATATATATATATATATATATATATATATATATATATATATATATATATATATATATATATATATATATATATATATATATATATATATATATATATATATTTATAACTGAGGCTAAAAGTAAGGATATTAAGGAGATTTAAGGAGATATTTTCCTAATATTAAAGGAAAAATAAGGAGAATTAAGGAGAAAACGATTATATTAAAAACAAAAATGATTATTTCAAAATTTATTAAATTTTTTTTAATAAATTTTAAATATAAACAGAAAAATTATTATAAATTAATATATTACTTTATATATATACATATATAAATATAAACATATATTTAATAAAAATATAGGTTTTTATTTTTTAATAAAAACTAAAAAAAAAAAGAATAATTTGAAGCAGAGTTGTTAGTCCTTAGCATAGGTCTCGGCCTTGCCTTAAGACCAAAATTTAAGTCCTTGGCCTTGGAATGTAATATATGTATATACTATGTAGTATATGTATATATAAATATAAATATATATTTAATAAAAATATAGGTTTGCAAACTATCAAAGAATTATATATTGAGAACCCTGATATATATTAGGGTGTCCCAAAAAACAACTTTTTTAAAAATAATCTGCTCTCACCCCCTAAATGTGTTCTATCTAATACAAAAACAATAAGTTTAATTTTTTTTTCAATAAAAAATAATTTAAGGGGTCCCTCAAGACCCTCGAATAATGTTCATTTCGGAAAAAACGATACGTACTTAAACGATACTTTTTTTTTTTAACGAAATCGGCGATTTTTTTACAGAAAATTGTTTTTTGTTTTGGCAAATATTGTATATTTTAAGGGAAATATCGTTACGTATCGTTTTTTCCGAAATGAACATTATTTTTGAAATTTTTATATAATTTTGGTTCATTTGAGTACCAGGTTGACATAATTTTTAAAAACTTTGTTTTGAAAATATTAGGGAGCCATTAAATATTATTAAAAAAATACGTCGCTTTTCGTAGTTAATACTTGTGAAGACATGTTTTTTTTTAAAGATAAAAAATATTAAATGAGATCGAAAAATATAGTGTATATTAATACAAAAGTATTAATATACACTAGTCAAACGTTTATAAAAAAAAATGTATATACACTAGTCAAAAGAACAAATTGTTTTGACTACATCTTGACGATAAATGTCTTCTATGAATCATAGTGATTATAAGTAATAACACTATGATTCATAGATAACATTTATCGTCAAGATGTAGTCAAATAACTATGTCAAATAACATAATAACTATGCTAGTGATATGAGCGAATAGAATAATACAAAATAAGTTTTGACAAAATGTGAGGAAGTTTGAAACAAAAATAAATTTTAAGTATTAAAAAAAATTATTTCAGCTTTAGTAAAAATTTTATTTCTATTTGAATGTATTTTTTAAGATTTAAACGCACCTACGTTTTACGACTTAAGGAAAAGTCATTCAAACAATTAATTTCAATCATAGTCATAATATTTAACTAGTCTGGAAACGCGGGACGTTTTCTTAAAACACTTAAGTTCCTCTCTATACTAGTGCTCAGCCTACTTTAGAGTGCATCAAATTGTAAACATTGCATTTCGCTATAGATAAGTTACATACATTCTGGGATAAATATTGAAATGGCATGAACAAATTGTGATTTTTTTGGTTATTTAGTTTCAAGTTAATATTTTGGATTGCATAGACATCAACTGTTGATAAATGTAGTTATGTGACAGAGTTTGTAGTGGTATAAATATGCTTATTCAACCATATATCATATAAGCATTTTAGTTATATACTATATGAAAATATGTTATAGATGCAAACATATCATCGACTGTATAACTTGATGGATGTACATGGGTATAAATGCTTTGTATTATATTCAGAGTATATTTATTTAAAATGTTAGCTAATAGAGCTTAATAAACTCTATATTCTATATATAGTTTACTTAGCTGGATTAGTTGATAATTTATATATCACTCTTTACACTATGTTGGTATCTTTTCTGGAAACAAGAAAAAATCAGGTACAATTTTATTATTTTGAATGATTTCAAAGCTAAATTAGATAATGTTGGTATCTTTAAAGATATGTGTTTTACCCTTAACACAGCATATTTATCTACCTTAGAGAGAAAATTATATCTTAATTATTACCTAAACTATATTAAAAATAACGATTTGTTGTTTAATTTTCTACCTTACAAGAAAATTTTTTTTTACCTTTGAAGATATAACTTTTTACCTTGGAAGGTAAAAGATTTTACCTTACTATGTGCATATCACATATTCTGCCCTACGGTAGAACTTCTTCCTTTTTTACAAGTGCTATACTAACAATAAATGTTGTGCAAAAATGTTTTTCTACTTTTATTAATAAGTAAAATACTTAATCAGAAGAAAAAAATTAGGGTTTTAATAAATACTTTAAAAATAGCTAGTATATCAAAGCTTCTTAAACTAAAATTCAAAAGCTTGTATTTAAATTTTTGTTTTTATTACGCTGTATTGCAATTTATATAATAGCAAATAAAAAAATTATACTTGATGCAATAAAGATGATGCAAAAGTCTGCTACCAAATATTGCATCACTATCATACATTAATCAAATTTAATTTAATTATAAAAAAAGTACAGTGTATTAAAAGAAGATTACAGAATTTTATTTAAAAATCACAGTGTATTTAATTAAGTTACAAAATTTTATTTCAAATCTTGATTTTAAGCTATAATTTAATATCGATTTTGTTGAATGCAGAAAAATAATATCTCAAAATCTAAGGTTATCTTCAACTAAAATAAGATATTTCATGTTAATTATCTAGTTTCATAGTCAGCTGCAGTGTATGATGATATACTTGACTAATCTAGATGATATACTTGACTTTTACAACTGGTGCCACTACATGACAAATGTTTCTTTTGCTTTAGAAAGCAATCAAAATTTGCAAATTAAATTTCTTATAAGTTGTTACTTGTAACTTGCGATGTTTATGCAAATCGCAAGTTGTTGAAAAAGCATTTTAAATGATTCGTTTATGCCTAATCCACCACATTAAAATAAAACAACTCGTTACTGTCTTATTTAAATATGACTTATCCAACTTAAAACATGGAAAAAAAAGATATATGTAAGGATGGTAAGTTTATACAGTGGAACCATATTGCTTATATATTCTATGAAGACAGAGAATGTGGCCTTTGTATTTCACCTAAACTTACTTTTGAGCATATAAAGTTGACAAAATATTTATTAAAAAGTGTTAACCTTGCTGCCTAAGTAATAAGTTTTTGCTGTATTAAAATTATTATTACATTATGAAATAGCTTATTTGAAAATTATTTCCGACACTAATAATCACTTAGTACTTGCAAGGGTAACCCATCATTTAATGACTTTCAAAAATAACAAAATAAAAAATATTTTTAGTAGCTGGAAATGTATTTAGCTACACTGGTATTATAAAGTTGTAATATTATAGTATTAATTCATGCCAAAAAAAAAAAAGATGTTAATAGATTTGTTCAAAACTAAATATTTTTTATATATGTAAAATAGTAGTGTTGTCATTATTATTTTAAAATTAAAAAGACAATTATACTATTTTTATTATTCAATCTTTTATTGCTATTTTATTATAAATTTACTACACCATAAAACTATTAAATATACATGAAGCATTTATTGTACTACTCTTGGAGCTAATTATATACCAATAATATTTTTTAAAAATATGTGGCTATGAAAATAGCCATTTTAGTAGGTTCAAGTCATCTCACTTTCTCTTTAATGTTCTTGTTCCAAAATAGAGGGTGTTTTTTAATTGATGTTCTTTATATATCAATTTAGTTTGACTTTTTTGAATTTTGAAAGCTTTCAGGTTATATTTTGCAATGTACAATCTATGAACTTGTATGTAAAATGTTAGATGATCATGCATACTTAGCTGCAAACAAATACGATAAACACTGCTCATTATCAACTTAGACATGTTAGAATTAAAACCTATTGTAAAAATAGAGGTACCAAAAACATTCCCACCAAGTCATAATAGAATGTTTTGTTTAGTAATGTAGAGGGGTACATGCTTAAATGTTATAATATCATTGATAAAAGAGGTACCAGTCAGATAAACAAAGACAAGATTTGCTACTTCAAAACATGAAGTAAACTGTTTTTTCAGAAAAAGTTTTGTAGAATCCATTCTACAAAATATTTTCTGAAAAAAACAATTTCTTTCATGTTTTAAAAGCATTTATGTTTTAAATGCTACTTCATATTCTTTTTATGTTTTGAAGTAGCATAAGTAGTAATTAATCAGCAGTAAAAAATTTCAGCATTTCAATCAAATGAATCAGTTACATTTTTACTAGGAACTAAGCTGTAATGACTTCTTCTTGAAAGAATTGAAATATTTATACTTGATTTTAAACTTTTAATGTCAGCTTGTAGCAAAGTACCATTTATCTGAAGCAAGCTTTACTGCAATCTTGATTAAATAATTATAAAATCTAATAGAATGAAGAATAATCTTTGCTTTCTTTTATTCTTTACTAAAACTTTATCAGTAATCTTGTCCTTGTGCTTGGCGTTGAGGTGACGAGTCACCGTGTGATATACATCATTTCTTGCAAAATAAACATAAATATTCTTTCTTCACTTTGGTTAGGATAAATTAAATTAGGTAGTCTAATATTTGAACTAAAATTGAGATTTGCCTTCAACAAATAGCAATTCAATAGCAGCTAAAACAGCATCAAATTCATTCAAATTTTCAAAGCCTGCGCTACAATAAGTCATTTTAAAAACATTTGATGTACTCTCAGTCCGGTCACCCCTTAAAGCTCAAGTTATTTTACGAAATCTATAGAAAACGGCACATGTTTCCAGACTAGTTAAATACTATGACTATGTTTCAATAGAATATGATCAATGAAGCATTACGAAAAACAATAAAGTTGTTAATGCGCAAAACTATTATTTAATTTAAAAAAAAGCTAAATCGAAAAAAGCCGGCTTTTTCATAGCATATAAAAGTGGCTCTTTCAAAAAATTGTATGGTAAAAAAAATAACCTAAATTAAACATTTTTTACCGAAACTTTAATTTAATATTATTTGTGGAAAAGAAGGACACACATATATATAACAATGCAGCATATATGTATTATCAAATAATAAAATACTCTTTATTTTAATAATAAATAAGTAAACCCCAAAAAAATTACTTTTTATTTCCAAAATTTTTAGTGCACCTATATGACGCTACTTATTTTAGAAAAACTCTAAATTTTTTGTGGGTGAAAGGTATCCAGCGTTGCCACACAAAAAGTAAAATACAATTATGATCGGGTGCCAGTAAGTTAGAAATAATAGCATTGACTCTTTGAAAACCTAGCTCTTTCATACACACTCTCCCCTATATACACAACATTATTAATAGCTTGAACTTATTTATAAAATATTATTTGACATGGTATTGTTTTATTTAACTATATAAAAGTTATGACAATATGGATACATGACAAATGAGAGTTTTTGTGTAATATCTAATGGTTAACATTATTTAAAGCTTATACATAGATGACATATGAGAGTGTTTGTGTAATATCTAATGGTTAACATTATTCAAAGCTTATTAAAAAAAAAAAAGGTTTGAAATAGATTAAAAAAAACTAATTTTTAGTGTCAATTTAATCAACCAAAGTTGAATTTATTTTATACAAAAATTATTTTTCAGGTTTTTTGGTACAAGATAATTGCAATATTATATAAATAATATTCTAACCAACTGTTATAACGTATGTCCTATGATTAAGCTCAAACATATTTATATGTAATATAATTCATACATATTTATATGCAATATAATTCATACATATTTATATGTAATGATTATTGTATATCTTAATCAACACACATTCTAATTTAATTGTTTACATTTATGTACAGTTTTTATTTTTATTTTATTTAGGTGCCCCAAGAAGTCCTTACAGTCTTAGAAGTTCACGCCTCTTTCCTAACCGATGTCGCAAGACTTGCCCAGAGGTGGGTTTGAACCACGGATCCTTTGTCTCTGAGGCAAGTGGGCTACCACTACACAACGGCTGCTCATTATTAATATTACTTCAAGTTTCGTACCATACACGGCAATCATCAGCTAATAACTACATAGAAAAACCATTAAAAAAAACTGTTTAAAAACAAACACTTTTACAAATGAATTAAAAATTACGGTAGAACATTTTCTAACGTAATAAAAGATGTAACTATTTAGTCTCCGGTATCAAAAGAGCACAATAGAAATTTGTTGGAATGTCAACACTTAGATAATATTTCATCTTTTTTATTGAGCAGGTTGTTTTCATATCATTTTCTCCACACCTTCCTAAACGATGTTGCTAAACTTGCCCAGAGGTGAGGTTTGAGCGTTTAAACAGTTTAAACCAGTTTATACCAGCGTTTAAAAATCCACAAAATAAATTTAATGCAAACACTTTGATCCTTGTTAGATGATTGAATCATTTTCTCAGCTAATGACACTGCTTATGCCTGGTTGGCATAAAACCTCTAATCAATATTATTCAAATAAACAATTATTTTTTACTTTGATATGTTGCTAACTTTCAGTTAAAGCATGAAACTAAAAAATAGGAGAATGGAATTAAATTTAGTTATGATAGCAGTTTAAATTATAAACTTATAGTTATCAAAACAACTTGAAAATAGAAAATAGTGAAATTGCAAAGATCAGTTTTAAGGCCATCTGGTATTAAAGTTTCTCAAACTCAGTGGTAACTCTCAGAGTGGCTGATTCCATCAACAGTTGTAAGATATCCAAGTATTACCAATATCATTTTGTGTATGGAAGGTGTCCCTTTAAAACATTATTGCCACCAAACTGTTTTAATCTATCCTTTACAAACATTACTGATTTTCAAAGTAACTTTTCATCTGTTGAGTCTTATTTCTTATAAAATTCACCAGATCTACTTGTCTTTTGTGAGATTAATTTGAATTCAGCTATTTTATCTTCATATATCACTGTTGATAGCTATTATCATTTCATTTAAACTCCAAAAATCACATGATTAGCCTAGGCATACACATATGTATAAATTTACCTATTTGTTGTGAAACCAGGTTTAAATTCTATAAATATTCTTTCTATTATATTTATCACCTCTCCACTCAATCAGATTTTCTTCTTCATTGTTCTCAGTGATTGCATCTTTAATTGTGTTTTCCAAGACTGCACTTTTTTCAATGTTTTTATTTGATCTAATTGACCGAAATCATTCTCATTATCCATTGGCGAATATTGTTATTACTAGTGACTCAACACACTGAATAGCTTGGTTTTAGTGACTCAACATACTGAATAGCTTGGTTTTAGTGACTCAACATACTGAATAGCTTGGTTTTGGTGACTCGACACACTGAATAGCTTGGGTTTAGTGACTCAACACACTGTATAGCTTGGCTTTAGTACCATTGACATATTGTTTCAAAAGTTCAAAATTTTTATAATTCCTCAATCTCTTACTCAGATAGTTAACTTTGTTACTTATTTTACAGTCAACCATAATCACTTATCATTTCTCTTTTATTTGTATCTTATCTCTGACCCTAGCTTATTCTCATTAGCACTAGAAATAACTATTCAAAGTTTGCTAATCAACACTGATTGGCTGAAATAAAAATTTTGGTAAGTAGACAATCAAATTTTTTCAGAAAATCAAATATCCTGTAAATTAAAGGTCTACTTCATTTCCAGTTCTTTAAAATTGAAATGGAAAATGTTGTAAATAACAATAGGTGCAAACATTAATTTATGTTCTACTTCTTCTTAACTGCTATTCATAAATATTTAATTAATTTATATAATTTCAGAACTTCCTATGCAAAATTTGCACAAACACTGGCCAGCAAAATTACCAGATTTGAATCTAATTGTATCTATTTGGGCTTGGGTGGACAAAGAATTAGTCAAGTCTGAATAAAATCTGTAAATAACCTGTATATAATAATCTGTAAAAAACTATAAAAACACACAAAAAAAAAAAAAAAAAAAAAAAACAGATACCATTTAGAAAGAGCAAAATATATACCTTAGATTTTATATTAGTGGAAGGAGACTCAAATGACCAAAAAGACCAAAGACTTTTTGATTTATATACATTAGGATAAACTGACTCTTTCAATTTGACTAAATGCTTTTGAATTGAGATGGGTAGAGCTTTTTCTACATCCAACGTTAAATCCACCTGAATATTTTTATTTTCATTATAATTAATTAATTTACAAAAAATATAGAAACTCATAAAATATTAAATCAAATCAAATATATGAAAAGATTATAACAAACATTTAACTGGAAACTAATAACAATAGACTGGAAACTAATAACAATAGACTGGAAACTATTAACAATAGAGGTAAATAATAATTAATACAATAGATTTAACCAAAAATAATGGTAATAATAAATATGTCAGCGAAACAATTTTATTAATTAGCTTCAATTTTAAAATAATATAAACGAGTTAAAAGTTATTTTGTAAAAATAAAAATATATATATTTACTATATATTTAATATATATTTACTTTGCTTTACATCACTTACGTTACCAAGCTATTATTATCGTAGACATTTTCTATCTAATATTAAGAACTAGATTTACATAACAAAAGAATTGCAAAACTATTGAACTCATTCATTAAAAATAGTTAACAAAGAAATTTTAAAAAAACTGGTGGCACTCTTCCTGAGTGATTTTTCATAACATTTATGAAAGTTATCAAATCGAAAACAGTTTTTACGCAAGACCAAGAGCAATTTAAAAAAATTATTTTAGTATTACAACTTTATTAATACTTATTTGAATCATTTAAATTGGTTTATCAAAGTTTTTACTTACACTTCTTACGTTTTTGCATTTTGCCTTATTTTCATTAGGTCGAATTTTTTAAAATGCTCCTTTGTGCTTACATTTAAATCTTTCAAAATAATTTTGACGTAAAATCTGCTATCTCAGTTTAAGAGGGAGAGAGATATGTGTGATTGTTTGTGATAGAAGGTAAGGGATTAAGAATTGACTAATATAAGGTGACTTGCTTTATGGATGACCCCCAAACAAACAATTTTTTTTACTAAAACAAAAATAAAAAAGGTTTTAACTGATTTTTTTATATTTAGAGAATAGCAATTAAATCTTTCTTTTTTTTCTTAATGTCTAATATTGAAAATAAAATATTAAACTTCAACATTTTTCTATGCTTTTTTGCTATTGTACACTAGCCATATTTTATTGATTACTTTTTCTTGCAGAACTGCCATCTTTGAAAGTATTTAACAGTATATCTTAAAAACTTTCGTTTTTAAAAACATTGACCAAGAATCAGGAAAAGAACCATTTTGTTTTTTTAATCTATATGTTTCGCACTCAAAAAATATATATTAATATAATATAATGTAAATAAAAATATTTGTATAAAATTTATTTTTATTTATTTATTTAAATGTCAACCAAAATAAGAATACGTAAACAAATAAAAAAACAATAATATAAATAATTTTAAGTAAGATTTAAAAAAAAAATACAATTTTTTTAAAATTCTCCTAATAAAAAAAGTCTCAGTTAGAGTCAAACCAATCCAATGAAACAATAATTACTTAATGACATAATTTATTTTGTTAACAAAAAAGCGCCAGAACTTTAGTAAATGCATGTAGTTTTAACTTACATTCCACAAATTTAAAATAAATGTTGTGTCTAGCCCAATGGTACCGTTGCTTTAATTTTTTATCTTAAAGTCACAGTAGTAAAATTTGATTGGTTTATTTCAAGTCATGACTGCGAATATGATTGGTTAATTTAGAAAGTTTTATTTGTACAAATTTAAAAAGAATAGCGTCTATGAATAGTGCATTTAGCATTGTGGTATCTCATTTGTTTATATCGCTAGGTGATCCGGGATTGAGTTTTACTTCCAGAAAAGAGTTTTATAATGTTTTTTTAAATTTTTTTTATTGAAAGTTATTATTATTGTTGTATATTGAAAATCACATTAATGTTTATTATTTAAAAACATCTACTGATTTAGGGATAGACGCAGTGAGTGTACATACAGCAATTGATTTAACTATAATAAATAACAGTAAAGTTTACAGAAAGGAAATTATTACAAATATTCAAAAAAAAACTTGCTCATGACCCCAAGATTTTAAACGCAATATTTAAAGGTTATGTTCAATTCTTCTATTATTTAAAGGTTAGGTTCAATTCTTCTATTATTTAAAGGTTACGTTCAATTATTTTATATGCAGTGACTTATTTACAAGATGAGATTAATTTCCTTGTTCAAATATTTAATGAAAATGGGTACAATATATGCCAGCTAACAGGTATTGCTACATTTGTGGATAAACATCAAAAGATTTTAATAAAATTATTAAAAAAGTCTTCTCATTTGGACTCTCTTTGGATTCTTCATGCAAGGATCCGCTTTTTTTGAATTGCTTCTTCATTCAGCGTATAAGATACCTCTACAAAGATGGCAAGCTTGATCAGACAAGGAAAAAAAAATGTCAAAGAAGCAAAGTAGAAAATTCAAACATCCTTCAAAGAAAAAATAGGGCTTCAAGTAGATATACCTAAAACAGAGTTTGGAAATACCAATGACGACAATATGTCAAGAAGATTTTTTTCAAACTCGAAATTATCTTTACAAACAACTGGTGTTAACTTGAATTTATTAAACATTTACACGTTATTCTTGAAGCCATTTCAAGTGGATATAAAATTGATGCTGTTTAATTCGACACTTTTGCTCATGAAACTGCTAAAATGTATATGGTTGGTATCCCATGTCTCCAACTATGCATAAAGGTTTGATACATGGCTCAGAAGTAATAACTCAGGCAATCCTCCCTATCAGCCAGTTATCTGAGGAGGCAGCTGAAGCCATAAACAAACACTTTTGGCAGTACAGACAAAATTTTAGTCTAAAGTTTTCACGTATTGACTGCAATACAGATATTAAATAGTCTGCTATTGAGTTCAAACCCATACATAAGTAGTTCTAGATCGAAACAGCAAAAAAGTGTTGCCAAAAGAGGCAGTCAATATGATATGATATCTCAGAATGAAGGTTTGACATGCAAATAATTTAAAACAAATAAGTCTTTTTCTTAATAATAAGTTACTCTCTAAATTTTTTTTTTAAAATTAAGTGTTTAATTTTAATAAAATACTGTGTTAAATATTTTTGAGCAGTTTTTTCCACTGTGCGTGGTCAGAAGAACTTAAGCTTTAATGTGGAGAAACTGAGCACTGACTGGGATCAGAAACAAGACATTCGTTGAGTTGAGCATGTAAATGATTCGAATTGTCTGGAAAGAGAGTTGGAAAGTTGAATAATTGTGTTAGAGATTGAGAAAGTAGTACTGAAAAAAATCAAATAAAAGAATAGTCTGTGGATTTAAACCTAGTTTCCCCACAAATTGGCGAATGCCCAGGCCAAGCATGTTACTATTGAAGTTTTTACAAATTAAAGGAATACAACCATCAATGCCAAGATCATAGGATGAGATAGCTGATCTCAAATTAGTCACACAAAAAGCAAATAGGTCTAGTGAACTTTGCAAGAGATAAGACTCAATAGAAGAAAAGTTACTTCGAAGACCACAATATATTAGTGAATGATAGATTAAGAGAATGTGATGACAATAGTTTTATAGTTTTTGGTACTTTACTTTACATTTTTGGATTTGTTAAAGTATTTGACTCAAAGCACAGATACTACTCAGCAAATTATTTAATAGTCCTGGCAATAGCCTTATTAATATTAATATACCCTAAGGCATAACAAAGAGTTCCAAATGTGGCCTCAACAATGCACACCAAAATTATAAACAGCGACACCATCCATGCGCAACATGGCACTATTAGTATTTTGATACTTTACAGCTATTTAATGAATCAGCCTCTCTGAGAGCTACCACAGAATTAGGGAAAATCTGACTACCAGCCGGTTTCAGAACCATTAAACTGAGTTTAAGAGCTGTACTTTTATTAAGAGATAAAAGAATGAGCTGCTTATTTAAAAAAACAAACAAAATCCATGTCAAGAAGATCCAGTATTCAACATTCTAAACTGGAAACAATGTATTATAAATACATCTACTCCAGCCTAATAGATAAAGAAGGGGTGCAAAGCTGGTCAATATATAGAATAAACAGATAAAATCTGTTTACTCCTTATGTCTTTGCATAGGAGGCTTCATACAAGATGGTAGCCAGATGCATATAATGTTTATCCAAGATAAGAACTTTAATCAAGACATTATTTCTAGTCTTAACTCAACCAAGAGCCGTAAAGTAGGGAGAGGGTGTTAAGTCAGAATAAGCTTATCCTAGCCTTTGACTAAAAAAGCATATCTTATAAGGCAGCAAGATATAATACTGAAGCAGGTTTGTACTGGGATACATGTTGCCAGTAGCAGGATAACCTGACCTGACATATATAAAACAACAAATATGTTAATAGTTTTCAAACAGATAAAAAGTTTATAGTTTTCAAATGAAATGCTAATAGTTTTCAAATGGATAAAAAGAATTTTAAATTTTTTTAATACATTTTATAGACAATATTCTTAACATAACTGGTGTCATCCCTAAAATAAATTAACATTATTGAACAGTACCTAGTACTTCAATTACCTAGATAACATACCTCAAATATCTTTAGTATATAGAATCCAATTACAAGTGGTGGGTCATACTTTTAAAATAAAAAATATAACTTTTACTGCTATTATAAGCTCCATTAAATATATGCTTATCCTTAAAAAGAGCTTTTTTTGTAAGCTATCTTTAGTTTAAAAGAATTCAAAATTATCAAGACTTTGATAAATTTGAATTTTTAGGGCAAAAAGTGGATGTATAAAATTTCTTACCTAAAATTTAAATTTTATCAATTAATTTTTTATTTTTTTATAAACCAAAAGACCTCTTGATTTCTAGATTGAACTAATTTATTGAAACCTTTTTATAATAGTTTTCTGGAACCTTCTATAATGTTTATTTAGAACAAGTCTTGAAAACAGAGGTTTTACAAAATAACATCGAACCACTTATGTAACTAAGTAAAAAAAAATCTTACCAACATTGCCAATCTTTTTGGGATGGCTTGTTTTTGAACTGTTTCAATATCATCAGCAGCTAAACCAACCTATTAAGTACATTCAAGTTCCCTAAATAACATGTAAGTGCTTGTGTGTGTGTATTTGTGTGCATAAGACCTTTGAATATTAATATTCAAAATATTAGTGAAAAAAAAAAAATTTCCTTCTTATGTTATGTTTAACTAGACAAATTAAGAAAAACACTTACCAATAAGTTAAATAGTAAAATACAATTGATGATTACAAAAAACATATAGATAACCCACGCAGTTGGAATTGGATTATAGAGGCGGTTGTAAATATTATCATATTCATACTCTCCCAACATTCCTAACAAAATTTTCATAAAAACGTGTGGAGGAGTAGTATACGATCTAGGGTCCTAAAACAAGGTTACAAAATTCCTAAAATAATTTTTAAAAATTTCTAAAACAAGGTTAAAAAAATTAAAAATTTCTAAACAACTGATAAAGCTTACAAAAAAATATAAAATACTAAAAAATAAAAAAGTTTGTAGATTAGAAAATTAGAAAAATAGAGTATAGAAAAGATTAGAGAGATTATGTAAATAGAAAAAATAAAGAAATTTGGAAATATAGAAAAGCTTCTATGAATTAATGAAGCAAAAATTAAATTTTGAAAAGCAAAATAATTTGAGAAGCAAACAGTATTTGTAGAAAAAAGAAAGAAATAGATCAAACTTGTAGAAAAAAGAAATAGATCAAACTTGACTGTAAAGCAGGCTTGATTTAAATAAAATTTAAATAAAAACTTTAAATTTAAATAAAACTCACAAAGAAACGTTTAAAAAAAAATAAGATTCTATTAAATAAATAAATTTTAAGCCAAAAAGGCATTTCTCAAGCCTTTGAGCATACTTCAGGTGACTAATCCATTATTTGAATCTTTTTCCGTGAGTACTGAAGTGATGAAGTGGCACTTTTCTGGTCAATGAAGCAATGGTGGAGCAATGCTGCAGTTTGGTAATGCCAAATAAGCGTTCTTGAACTCCAAAATTCATTTTGCAAAGTCCTTCTGCTAGTGTCATGCCAAAGCAAGAAGTAAGCAAGAGATCCAGAAACATTCTGAAAGTGTAATTAAAACTGAGGCATATTGAAAATACATTGAAATTATTCCCTCTACACTCTTTAATAGAGTCAATACCACCAAGGATGAATCTTGCTGGAAATGATCTAAATTGTTTAGCAATCTGTGAAACTTTTTTACAGCAAATTGATCTCCATGATATGGCTATTCTTGAATATGGTATGGTACTGGCCATCAATGTGCTTTTGACCAGACATCTTTCATTGCTTTGAACAGATGACTAACAATGCAAAGAAAGTGCAGCTGGTTGGATAAGTTTTAAAATCAGTGCATTGGATGGTTCAGAAACAAAAGACTCATAGTTCACATTTCAAAACTTTTAGATCTGTTTATATTGCTTCCAGAAGCTTTTAAAGCTTGAAAAGATTCCAATGCAAGGATGCATGCTTGCATGAAAATATAGTCAACATATAATTTTGGCTAACATCTTTCGACAAGAAACAACAAAACCCTAAGCACCAGCTTGAATAAAAGACCAAACTTGCTTGATATTGTTGTAGTTCTTTAGAAGATTATCTAATACAGCAACCAGGACTTGCGGTGGTAATTGGACATCATTAAGAGTAATCATACCAATAATGCTAAGTCAAAATTTTAAAAAACCATTACCTTCATCAACTACAAGTTTAACTAAATTATTAAACAACACTTTTTATTGAGGGCCTTTTCAGTCAGATTTTCAAGAAATAAATTTTTAAAAAGGGTTAGGCAATCTACACCTCTTTTTTGCATTTTCTTTTAACTTTCTGTGGTCTTTAATAGGTTATTTTTTTTAAGCTCCAAGTACCCTATTAACCAAATACAGGAGCTGCACTCAGGTCAAATTTGGATGGTAGAGAAATCAAAGTGACTGACAAGCTTTAGAAAATTCTGGCATGAAGTAAATACCATTAAGAATAATTTGCAAATAATGTATTGTATAGTGGTACTAATAAAAAAACATCAATAAGTGTAAGACAAAAACCAGATTTGTAAAATTACTGAGTCAGCTATTTTGAATTTCAAGATATTTACGGATTTTCTGTACAAAAAACTTACATAAAAAAAAATACATTAAAAAAGTTACAGTGCATGTGATTAATAAAATTGCCCAGCGCAACATTTTTCGCTCGTAATACTGAAATACATTATCAATGAGCGAGATTATGCGTGCTTGATTTTGACTATCTTCGAGGGCAATATTCAGAGTTGGAAATTGGTTGCCATGAGCCATCCATAAATTACGTACACAAGTATGGGGATCACTCAAAATCACTTGAGGGGGTCACTCAAAAGGGTACCAGTGTGTACAAGGAAAAGGATGGACAATCTTTTGTTGAATTTTTTTCATGTAAAGTCAGACAAAAAAGCTTTGGTTTTTTAGTTAATGCATCTGTCTACCAGAAAAATGTTATTGTTATGTCTGTAAGCAGTAATGACTTCATAACTTTTTATTTATAATTTGTACAAAATAGAAAACTACTTTCTAATTTAAACTGAATGCGCCATTTAAATGTTATCAAGTGAATAATATTTTATATACCAGATTATATACCTAATAAATATATAATAGACTTATACTAATATAATATATATTAGTGAAAGTATATATATACTTATACACAATGGCGTAGAAAGGTTTTTAAATGTTTAAAATAACCAACTTTTAAACAAAAAATTCGAAATATATTTACATTCATATGTACGACTAAAAAATTCTTCACAAAAAGAAATTACGGAAAGGAGAATGGGAACAAGAAACCCTAAAATCTTAGCCCCCTGCCCCAAACGTGAGAGCAGCAAATTGATGAAATATATTTTGTACTATTTTCAATTAGACTTATATTTATTGATAAACTTTAATTTTCATAGTAAAATATTTTAGTGTTCAAAAAATATGACCTTATAAAGTTTTAACCCCCTAAATTTGAGGTGGTTGCAAATTTAACTTTTTAATAAATAGACTTTATAATAAGCTTAACTGATTTAAAGTGAAAATACCAGTGAAATTATTTAGTTTTGTATTAACTTATATTTGACAAAAAAATATTTGATATTCCAACGTTTAAATATTTTTAGAATATTAGTCATTAATTAATAGAATGTGATCAAACTAAATCGAAGCTTTAAGTAAAGTTTTAGTTATATAAACTTTTTATGCTAGATATTTATAAGATATTTATAAATATTACGCTAGATATTTTTAAATATTACGCTAGATTTATATTTTTTTTAACATTTAAGTCTAGAATTTTCATTGAAGTGTTGCAAGTTTTAATATTTTATAACATGGACTTTATTCAAAGTAAAATTTCCAGTTAAGTGAAATTTTTTGTCAAACGAACCCTAAAAAAATATACGAGTTAGCAAATGACTTAACCAGGGTACAATTAATAGGATAATAAGATAAAGTTAAACTGGAATTTTTTTAAAAAAACACGCTATCAAATTAAAGAAATAAATCATTTTTAATTGGAACTTATACCGCACAAATTAAAACTAAATTAAATCACAAATAAATTATGCGTGACATACTTTATTATGAATGTAACTTCTTTATTTAACAATATGCATACTCTTTTAAACATATTTTGACTTCAGCAAAAAAATTTTACAAAAAATATTTTCTATAAAATTAACTTATAATTTTCTCCCTCGCAAGTTCTTTAGACGAGTGCGGTTTTTTACTCTCGCAACGAAACCAGTGAGCGCTATTTGTTGCGCCTGGAAGGTCATGTTTCATGTGCGTGGAGGAATGAGGTAGTAAGCAGGTGTAAAAGGGTGTGTTTTCAACATGACAAAAACCTGACGTTTATAAATAGATGTTGCAAAAATCTATTTATAAACGTCAGGTTTTTGTCATGTTGAAAACACACCTTTAAACACCAGCTTACCACCCTTTGCCACCTTACACCACCTCATTATCTCATACCTTCTGTTTACGATTTTACAAACCCTATATCATTACGTAAAGGGTGGTGATCTATTTGCAAAGGAGAAGAGGATTTTGAAAAAACTTTCTTACAAATACTTATTGTTTTTCTTAATAAGTTTGAAAAAAAGATGTCTTACCCATTCATCAGATTTCAATTAAAACATTAGACTTTAATTTTGTCATTTTGTGTAATTGGAATTTATATATTCTTATCCTGCATAGGCTTTACTGGGTCATAACCTTTGTCAATAAATGTCAAAATAAGTAAATGTGTTGCAAACACAAGATTCTATCATTACTTTACACCAGAGTTCACTAAAAATAATAAAGAATGCAGTCATACAAGAACAGCTTTAATACTGCAACTAAAAAAGAAAAATGCAGTAATTTCTAAAACTAATAACATCTAAAATAGAACTGTATGGCAGACATTATTGTATTTGTCAAAGGGTCAAAGCTCTGGAAATTTTAAAATAAGAACAACTAATTTAGTTAGCACTAAATTTGTTGTTCTTATTTTAACTTTAATAATAATAGTTCATGAAATACATAATAAAAATATGTTAAATATGCAAAAGTTAAAATAAATAATGCATAGTAAATAAATTGTGACAATCAAACAAAAGATTATTTTATGTATAAGATTGTTTTGAGAAAACAAATTATAATGAAATAAACTCTTTTTTAAGAGCCAAATTTAGATTTCACTAGTAATTTGTCATATTAGTTTAAATGGCTTTTAATTCGGTTTAAAATTAAATTTAATTACAACACAGCATTTTAAAATATGCTGATGACACAATTTAACTTTTAACTTTGTAAATGGTAAAATAATTTGTATTTGGTATCAAATTGAAGTTTTATCTTTCCTTTATTAGGTCGCCGAAAATGTGGTCGACTTTATTTAAAATAAAATAGTGTGAATTTATTATTGACAATGAGTCTTACTTTACTTTGTCAGCATGTGGCTGGTAATAATACATACTATTTAAATATTTGACACCAGACATTGTTAAGTATTATGACGTCCCAAAATTTGAACAAAAATTACTTGTATGGATAGCAATCTCCCTACGAGGGTTCACATCAATTTACATTGTTCCTTCTTCCCATCATCCTAACCAATTTTGAAAATCAAAATTTTTCATTATTGAAACATTATCTAGACATTCTAGACAAAAACCACTTGAACTCTGAACTGCATTCCTGTTTTATTTTTTTAAAAATATTTTCTAGAATGTATTCTCTTCAAATAATTTAACAATTGTTAAACTCGTGTTCTCCTGTCTGCTGGAAATTAGCCTGACGAAATTATTTTTAAAATTTTTTATCTAACTATTCTTCTATGTATAATAAGTTTTTTTAATAAATAAATTACTAATATCTAATTTTAAGTCCAACATTGTGATCTTTTCTTTGCGACAGCTTAAGGTTTGAACTAGCTAGTAAATTTAACAAAACTCACTTGTTTACAATTAATAATTATTAGAGTATTGTTAATTGTTACACTTTTACAGTGTCTTCTACTTTACATCAATTGTGCAAATGGCTCACGCTAGGAGTGTCGAGGTACTGCTGTATACTTTAAGAAACTTTTCTGTGTTTTTTAACAGACAATTTTTGTTAATTTTCGTGATTCAATAAAGACTTTTTTCTATTGTTGTGATTTAAGGTTTTGAGTATGACAAAACTACAGTTGATAAATGGAAGTTAACTGTATTACGACTTGTATATTTGTAGAACTTAGGTTAAGTAAAGCTAGTTATAAATAATAAGTGCAAAAATTGCCTAATGATTTATATTCATTAAGTTTTGCCTAAGATTTATATCAGTTGCAGTTTGAATTAAGAATGCGTTAATAAGAATGTCAATGATAAAGATCTAAAACAAACTGTAAAAAACAACAAAATAAGTCTATTATTATATCTAATTATAGTCTAATAAGTGCAATGATATTCTAATATTTAAAATTATTTTTTTATATATCTTTTTTCTAGAAAAAAAAGCTAGATATTTTTAAAATATCTGAAAATTTTCTTTCTCTCTTTATTGTATAAGATGCTCCACAACAGCCTTTTTGTCAAGTTGATTTTAAAAATCTTTTTTAAGCTTAGACTTAAAAATCTATATTTCTGTAAAATTTATAACTCTGTAAAATGCATAGTTCTGTAAAATGTATAGTTCTGTTAAGTTAAAAATAAGAGGTCTAACAAAGCACAAAATATTATGTAGATAAAATATGGAGAATATAAAATCAACTTCTATGATTTTTGCTTTTAAAAGTAGTTTTGTACATGAAGTTTTTAGAACAATTTTTTTAATTATTTGACTCTTTTAATCTGTTTATGTTATGATCTAGTACCAAAAAAAATTGTATAAAATATATGTATATATATATATATATATATATATATATATATATATATATATATATATATATATATATATATATATATATATTGTGACCAGGTTAATATTTGACTGGGGCCAGGGCCAGGTTTGATAAAAGACTCTTTTTAATAACTTTAAAAATTCATAAAAAAAACTTTTGAAAAAGAAATCAAAACTCACTTGCATAAAAATAACCAAATGGGACCCCAAACCAAAGGCAATCATAAATAAAAACATTACAGGAGCTATTTGAACAAACGACTTTAAGATATGTGTGAACATAAAAACATATATTCCAAGTTTAGGAAACTTTCTCAAGAATAATACCAAACCTAACCATGATAAGGTTAAACTAGCTGCTCCTAGTTGATTTTGAGTAAACGAACACCTGCAATCAAAACAAACTATTTGTGCATAATATTTGTGCATATTACTAAACAAAAATCAAGATTTATCACTATTATTTATACCTAAAACTGCTACTTTCATCACTAAATGATTCTTTAGCATAAACCAATGAACAAATATACGCTCCTAGCTCAACAGCTCGGTATACACGAATGTAATTGTAGGGATTCATAATAAGCTTGGCAAACTAAAAAAATTTAAAACATACAAAAAATTTGAATTATTGAATTGAACCAAAAAACTATCAAAAAAAAAAAAAAATTAACCTCAATGCTCAGACTGATTGCACTTAGCACTATGACTATATATCTGCCTGGATCAATAAAGAAGTTTGATAAATTATTATTTGGATTAAAAGGTAAGCAGGAATAAGAATTGTTGGAAACCTGAAGATTAGCTCTTAAAGATAAACCATAGCCAGTTATAAAAAAAAGAAAGATCATGTACAATAACAATCTGGAATAATATGCATATCGACCACATATGCTCCATTTGCATTTTAGTAAACATGTTACCAAAGGATGACACAATAACCCTGTACGCTCATTTTGAACCTAAAAAAGTTGAATGTATGGTCAATAATGTATTGCCAGTCAATATGTTTTTATAAATGAAAATTATAAAAGGTAATTTCATTTATATAATAAAGTAAAACTAATGTTAGGAAGTGTGCTTTTTTAAAAAAAATAGATTCCAGAAATACAAAATATTAGTAAAAGGTAAGTCAAGTAATTCTTTGTTTTCTTAACTCCTTTAGAATATGCTTAAATTTTTCAGTTTAAAAACATAAACCTTTTCAGGATCATTCAAATATTTCAGTCTGCTATGCAGCTATTTAATTATCCTGATTTGCTATGTGGCATATATTATATAAGTCGCAGTGGAAAAATAAGTTTGAAAAAAAAAAGAACAAAATTAAAATAAGTTTTAATCTAAAAACTAGGACTGAAAAAAATATTTTTTTTTGTTTAAAATATTTATTTTTAAGATTCTTTTTGAAAAAAAGAATCTTAAAAATAAATATTTTAAACAAATAATTAATTTAGAAAATGAATAAAGAAAGCAACAAAATCTTTTTCCACTCTCTTCTGGATTAATTATAGTAAAAATCATACTTAATAGTTAAAGCTTAGTGAAATAATTTTTAAAAATTTAAAAAATTAATAAGTTGTTACAATTACAATGTTACAATTTTTAAAAATTAAAAAAATTTATAAGTTGTTGATTCTCTTTCAACTTTTAAACTTCAAAATTTTAGAATTCTTCTTTATATAAGAATGACTATGGTTATATAGAACATTTTACAACCAAAATAGTTAAGCATTAGTTCAATTGTTTATCCCAAGCTAAACTATATGAAAAAATCAAAACAAAGTAACATTACCATGAACTTTAAAGGGTGATTATGTTTGAAATTTTTTGTCTTCATCCAATCAACTGGAAATTTGGTGTTCATACTAGAAATTAGAGAAAAAAGTGACCGCCTATGGGAGAAGTCGAGTGATTTTCGGTGTTGGTAATATTCACTATCATCTAAAGCAATAGTGCACCATGGGGCAAACATATCTTCAAGAAACTCAAAATTGTATGTAATTTTATATTGAGGATGTTCACAAGGAAGACCATTATCTAATACACACTGATTAAAAACTTGTTCAGCAACGTCTAAACAAAACTACTCTTCTAAAAATTAAATTTAATAAAATTAAATAAACAAAATTTAAGCTTAATAAACCATAATAAACAAACCAGGAAGTTTTTGAATCAGTTTTCTCATTGGAGTTGTTAAGTTATTTCCTTCAACAGTAGAGTTTCGCAAAGCGTTTTGCCAGTTGTTACACCCTATAATTGCCATGGCAACTTCTCTAAAAAAAATACATACAAATACACAAGTGAAAAAAAAATTGTGTTTTGTTGGAAATACAAATAAGAAAAAATCATGAAAACAAACTTTTTGGTAATAAATGTTAAAACTCTTTAAGATTATTTTGCTAAATGACATTTTATCTTTTTCTAGTTTGTTTTTGAAAAAATTAAATCAATTTTCTAAACATAGTTACCAGAATAATCAAAAATATAAGAAAATTTAATGTGTGAAAAGTATTACCGTTGATTATTCTCTATAGCATAGTCTAAACAGTTCTTTCCAAAGTGATCTCTTCGAGTAACATCAGCATTTCTTGACAGAAGTAAGTTTACTATGTCAACATGCCCTTCCCTGCTAGCCAGATGTAATGGTGTTATCTAATAATCAATGACATTTAAAAGCGTAACCAAACATTTTAATTTTTTCTGCACAAATAAAAATAGTACGAAAAAAAGAGCAAAATTTAAATGTGTGTGTATATTTCTAAGAATATATATATATATATATATATATATATATATATATATATATATATATATATATATATATATATATATATATATATATATATATATATATATATATATATATACAGGCTTGGTCAGGAAGTGGGTGCGATCGCACTCGATAATTGACCACCGAAATTATATTTACTTGCAAAAAGCCAGCCAGATTTTTCAGGCGTTTTGAGAACATTTAAGTTTATGTATGTTTCCTTGTTTGTCCGCAAAATAATAAATTTATTATTTTATCATAAATTTTAAAATATTTTGTTTTACGGACGTACATGGAAACTTATATAAACTTGAATGTTGTCAAACATCTTAGTGCGGAAAAATAAATAAAGAATATTCGCGAACACAAAAAACCCGCCAAATTTACGAACAACTAATTCTATTGGTTCAATTAATAAATAACTGAAATTACTAAAGAATTCAAGCGAATGTTCTAGAGTATTCTGTTGAATTATTTTTCAAAATCGTATAATTTGAGTTTTGTTATGTTTTTGTTGAGATTTCTAGCATCAATTGTTTTAAGAATATACTACCAAACGAACAATTATTTTAATACAATGGCTCATTCTCGGAGTCACATCTACAAAGCTATAAATGTTTTAAACTAACATTTGTTTACAAAAATAAATGTTTTAAATTTATATTATTTAACTTGTTAACGTTTTGTAAATATATTATAGATTTAATTAGTATAATCTTATTTTTCATATGTAAGGGATGTATTTATATGTTTTTAATGTATTAGAAATTGGTTTATTAACTTCAATCATTTTTGCTTCAGCCATTCTTACAAACTCGTTATACTTACACTTTTTTGCTTGCTTTTGAAATGTTCTCAAAACGCCTAAAAAAATCTGGCCGGCTTTTCGCAACTAAATATAATTTCCGTGGTTAAATATCGAGTGCGATCGCACCTGCTTACCGACCAAGCCTGATATATATATATATATATATATATATGTATATATATATATATGGAAAATTGTATATATATATATATATATATATATATATATATATATATATATATATATATATATATATATATATATATATATATATATATATATATATATATATATATACATACATATATATATATATATATATATATATATATATATTTTATATATATATATATATATATATATATATATATATATATATATATATACACAGAGTAATTCCATGTCAATTCATCCAGGCCATATCACCATGTGTCTCAGTTTTTGCAAACTAAGAACTCCTTAAAAATTTTTAAATTCTGGCTCCAAAAAGATCCTGAAATATGATCATTTTACTTTTAACAGATCTTAGCCAGACCTCTCTTGTCCCCTAAGAATTGTGACCTTTGTGTAAAGATTTCAAGTCTCATAGTTTTAAAAATATTTGATCTTTATACTTAAAGTTTTGTACCTGGCTATTTTCAGAGGTGAAGAATCTGATAAAATAATCAGAAATTTAAAAAATTATTATTAAGTACTTGTAATAATCAATTTAAATAAACTTAGGCAATTTTTTATATACCTGATTTTGATGCTCAAGAAACCCATGTGGCCTTGATGATATCAAAAAAAAAAAAATTACACATCATTCTATATTCAATAATCTTTTAGAAAACATAAGGAATTAAATTTGCAAGTATGTGGATTTCCATATATGGATAACAGGACACCGGCCCCACTTTTTTTTTTCACTGGCCCCAAAATATATAACATTTTGCTCTACTTTTCAGACTAGCTGAAGCTCTGAAACTTTTGGCATTTTTGTAGTGCTGATAAATGTGCATTTTAAAATTGTTTTTAGGGCCCTTGACACTAGGGGAGGGGGCTGGGGCATGTGCCCCACTCTTTTGAGCAGAATCTTGAGATGGATTTTTCGCTACCTTCCAAACAAGCTGGAGCTCTGAAACTTTCAGCTTTTGTATAGTCCTGATCAACGTGTGTTAAAATTGTTTCCAGGGCAGACAACCAGGAGGCCACGGGGTTGGGACACTGGGGGCCATGCCCCACTTATTTTCTCAAAAAAGTTAAGATAACTTTGAAAACATTGTCTTCAAATTTTTCTTTGATTTATACTTGTTCCATTCGGTTTTTGATCATTCTATATTCAATGATCTTTCTTATAATATCAGAAGAAAGTTCATGTTTTTCACAATTTTGATTTGCAAGTATATGAATTAAAACAGATTTTAACAGAGTTTTATTTATAATTTTTTCATTGTATAATTTAAAACTTTTTAAATTGAAAAAAATTTATATACTTTAACCCGTTAACAGTCCATGCTTTAATATTACACAAACTAAAAGTGGATTCTAAATGTCCATGCTGTAATATTACGCAAACTAAAAGTGGTTTCTAAATGTCCATGCCGTAATATCACAGTTTTGTGCATCTCCTTATATTTCCTTCTTCTTCATCAGTAATTATATGTAGGGCTGTACCGAATTCAGCTTCGGTTCCTGCTCCGGCCAAAATCCGCCCATTTTACAAATCCGGCCCAAATACGGCTCCACCAAAATGTTAGCAAATCCAGCATAATTTTGGCCGGATTTCTGAATTTTGGTCAGATATTTATTACATCTTTCTTTCCCGTGATAACATGTATACCTAATATTTGATTTTTACAAATCAATGTTTTTAGTAATTCTATAGTCTATGAACTTCATGTTTGTTTTGGTATCTGTATTTACATTTCTTTACAATTTAATTAGCAAAGCCTAATTTCAAACAACAACGCAACAAAAAATTCTGAAGAGAAGACACACGATATTCTGCAATAATGCAGGTGTAAAGACTATGAAGTCAATCCTAATCAAGTCATTGGATGAGCGTTTTAAAGGCATTGAGGAGAAACCTTTTTATATAGTGGTGACACTGGTTGATCTATAATTTCAAACTAAACTCTTCTCATTAAAGGCAACACTTACAATGGTGGTAAAACAGATGATATGATCAACACATGCGGTGTTCCCCATGGATCAATTCTAGGGCCCCTTTTGTTTCTAATTTATGTCAATGACTTGTATAAATTTTCTAATGTTTTAAACACAATTTTATTCGCCAATGACACTAATTTATTTTATTCTAATGAAAATATTAATATTTTATTTTCAACAGTTAACAAAGAACTTGATAAACTAACCCAATGGTTTAAATCCAATAAATTATCCTTAAACATTGCTAAAACCAAATACACATTCCATCGTGTTCATAAAAAAGAAAATATTCCATTGAAACTTCCAAATCTTTTTATTGATAAAAATATAATAAAAAAGGAAATGTCTCTAAAATTAAGTAAACTTTTCTACAAACAAAAACATGCCATTAGGATTATTACAAATGAAAAATGCTTCTCTCATACAAAAATACTTTTTGCAAACTTAATATTCTAAATATTTTTAAATTAAATCTCTATCATATTCTTATATTTATGCTTAAACTTGATAAAAAAATGGCACCACTTTTGTTCAACTCTTTATTTAAAAAAATAAATCATATATACAGCACAAGATTTTCAAATAATAACTATACTCAAATTAAAACCTATTATTCTGCCACCAAATACTCAATCACAAACCGAGGTCCTAAATTATGGAATACATTTTTAAATATAATCTTAAAACACTTTCTTCACTTAATCAATTTAAAACTAAACTTAAGCAAAATCTTTTACTAAACGATTATGAGCTAAATTTCTTCTAAAGCGTTTAAACGAGAGTACTATTATTAATAATTTTCAGCATAACAATTATGTTTAACAAGTTAATTTTAATAATTGTTTATTACTAAGATTATTTATTCAGATCCATAAATATGATGAATAATATTATTGGCTTTTTTTTTTTTTGTTTATTTGTTTATTTTTTTTTTGTCTTTTTTGTTTGTTTTTTCTTCTTTTTTGCTGATCTTTTTTTTCGGTTTGTTATTTTATTCCCTATTTAAAATTATTTTTAATAAACTTTACCGGTAAAAAAAAAAAAAAAGATATGTAGCTTACATTATTACGGTTTTTATAAGCATTGTAACTCCGGCTGAAATCTGGCTAAAACTCCAAATCCGGTGAAATCCAGCAAATCCGGCTCCGGCTGGATTTGGAAAAATTAAATCTGGTACAGCCCTAACTATATGTCTACTTGTCACAAAAGTTATTACTAGATAATTACAGAACTTTTGTTTCAATAATTGCCTTTTAAATGTGTACAATTTAATTTTAAATATGACGAATAAGGAAGTTCTTTCAGTGCAAAAATAATTATCAAAAAGTAAACATTTACTTGCAGAAAGATAGAATTTTATACATTTGATGAATCAATAAGGAAAAGATATATTTAATGAATAATTATTGAAAATGATAATAAAAGAATAATGCTCAAAGATATTGTGCGAAAGAAGGTGTGCGGTATGTTACAAACACAATATTCAAAAAGGTTCAGGATATGAATATGTAGAATGTGATGTAGGACTTTTTGCAGCTCCTTGCTTTTTAAAATTATCATACAAAAAATGAATATTAGTGAATACATTTTTGAAATTTTATGTTTATGTAGTATGAATTTTATGTTTATGTAGTATTTTGTAGTGTTAAAAATAGTAAAAACCATTTTTTATTCTATCAGTAAAAAAACACGATGAATTTAAAAATATGGGACATTTAGAGACCACTTCAAAAAAAAAAAAAAAGGACTAATTGCGATGTTTTTTAAAAAAAACGCAGCATTGTTAAAGACTGTTAAATACTAAAATGTTAACTGCTAAAATGTTGTTTAATTAAATAAAATCCAAGAGTAAAAAAAAACATCCTGTCATAACATTACATTAATATATATATATATATATATATATATATATATATATATATA